TAACAAGACAGTGTGTGTGTGTGTGTGTGCACAAGCATGCGTGGGAGGGAAAGAGACAGTAAGGGCAGAGGTCTTGCTGTCTGTGCTCTCAGGGGTCACTGGGGGATGCTGTCGATTACAGCACAACACTAAGTACCGGGGACACCGAGGGGATTCTCCAGCCTCCCCTGCGGAAAGGGAAAGACAAGGCCAAGACAGTAAGGATGCTATGAGCGCCACCTGGTGTCGGCGTGCCCTGACTGCAGCCACACCACCCGGGGACACCTGGCAGCAGGAAAAACACCAAGGTAGCCCAGTGAGCGGAAAGGCCCAAATAAAGGTCAAATTTTGAACAGCAGTATGACGGTGATTGACGTTTTCAAAAGTCTGAGTTCCCGATGGCGGCTCCCATCCTGGTTATTCTGGGCTGCAAGTCCGGTGCCAAATGGAAGCCGTGAGCCCGTGGTCCTGCAGCCACCCTGGTCGAGGGTCTCAGGGAAACACGGCACCCGGGACAGAACGTGACCCAGGCGGGGAACCCCTGCCCCACGAATGTGGGCAATGGAAGTGCCACGTCGTGATCTGCACCCTTGCTTTATTAGCTGACACACACAATCCCTAACACAACCTTCCATCAGTATTTGTAGCTGGGGGCCGAACTTGACACGTTTTCCTAAAGGAGTGGAACAGGGAAGCCTACGCCGGGTCTCAGGCGGTCAAGGACGAGGACGCAGCACGCGACCACGAAGTCTCATTACACACAAGCCTGGGAGAGTCCGTTCCACACACGGAAACATCCCTTCACGAGACAGAGCACAAACCACGGGCCGCCTCGCGGGAAGGCGTCTGATCGGAGACGAGGCGTCTCACATCCAGCGATGCTTCCCGAAGTCTAGGGAGAGTGCAGCCCCCGGGCGTCTGCGGAAGGCCGTCACAGGCACCTCTTCCTGCTCCGACGGCGTCTTCTCCATCCTCGCAACGAGACCAGGCCACGGCCACTGCATGCGAACCACACAGACGCACAGCGGCCTCTTCCAAAGGACAGGCCCGGAAAGTGGTTTTCTGTCTCACAAGTTCAGAATTTCACAGGAACGAGCTCAGGCTTCCCAAGGCAAAGGGAAATCAGACGAAGACGGGTCAAACTACTCTTACCAACCTTCACCTGAGGTTATCGTGTGACCGGAACAGGAGCGAAACAGATGAGGACATTCCGCTCAACAGCAAAAATACCAGCGGTGCAACGAAAACACGGGCGGACGGCCAACAGGCATATGAGGAGATGCTCTGCCTCACTCGGCACCAGGGAAATGCAAATCAAAACCACGATGCGGTGTCACCTCACACCTGTCGGCTAGAATCCAAGTGACAAGGAGTGACAGGTGCTGGTGAGGATGTGGAAGAAGGGAATCCCTCGCGCACAGCCAGTGCGAATGCAAACGGGTGCGGCCACTGCGGACAGCAGCATGGAGGGTCCTCAAAAGGTTAAAGATAGAACTACCCTATGACCCAGCAATCCCACCTCTGGGTAGTTTATCCGAAAGAAAAGGAAAACACTACGTTGAAAAGACACCTGCTTCTCGTGGTCACCGTAGCATCACGTACAGGAGCTGAGACACGGAAACAGCCGTAGATGAAGGGAGATAAA